AATATATCACATTTCCAATTATTTTAATTGCTGTAAAACACGGGACAGATATCATCCTAAAATGAAATTCATTGTGGAAAATTTGAAGGATCAACTATCCAATGTTGAGAGTTAGGAAGGCATTAAATTCAGAATAAATAAATGGATTCAATGCCCTTCTTGCTTACCAGCAGACAACATAGTCACAGACATCGTAATTTTGAAATATACACAGTAGAGAGAAATAGGTCGTGACAAGCACCCAGTCAGAAAGCAAATAAAAAGCAGTGACAGGATACATCGTATACATGTACTAAACACAGACAAAAAAAGACAATTTTATTCACCTTGTCAGTGGAATTCAAAGCCTAGATGACCACTTTATATTTCCTTCAAGTGAGCTTCAGATATATGCTATTTAGAGATTTCTCAGGGGAAGGCCATACACTGCAGCTAATTTTAACAACAAACAGGAAACAGTTTCTTTTCGCAGATACGAGGGTTGATGTTTACATTTTTCTCCTTTTGGCATCTTTTTTTTCCCCATTCCCCTAAGCTAATTTTAGCCACGGGAAGTTAAGTATAGAAGACATAAAAGAATATTCTTCCTTCGACATAAAATCCTTCACGCTACACATTTGGTGTGTTTGTGCGACTATTTTCTCCACCGCAAGCACCAAAGTTAGGAGGCGGTGAAAACACGCAGACAAAGGAACATTTTCCCACCGGACGGGCATTTGCTTTTTTCCCCCCTCTCCTACAAATGTGTCTTCCGGTTGAACGCCATTCCGGCACAAAAGCAAGATGCGGAAATCAGGACACCGTTGGAAAGAGACGTGGGAGGGAGAGGGAAAGGGAGAAGAAGATGGTGAAGAAAGGAAGAGGATGTGGAGAAAACTACTCACTACACTGGACTTAACCCAATTTATCGCAGAGCTGAAAATCGCTTTTGAAAAGCCAAGGTGCATTTCTTTGTGGGAAAGTAGGGTAGAATCTGTTTATTGGTAGAAACTAAGAATGGAAAAATGCAATTTATTTCTGCTCATACCCTTACTTTGAAGCAGAAAATGTTCAAGGCTGTCCATCATATGTTGGGGAAAAATACAGGTGAATCTTAATTGCCTGTCAGATTACTTCATCTTCTAAAGTTTAATTCAAAGAATTACAAATGTACCAGTATCACAAACAAATTCACTGCACATGTAACTTTACACTATGTCTAATTTTTTTTTTGTATTCATTGGCATTAAAAATAAGCTACACATGTTTGAATCTTGTATCACAGAAATACTCTGTACAATATTCTTGTTTCACATTGCTTTCCAATGTTCAATGGTTACTTCGGAATACCACCGAACATATCTCAAACTCCTCAATTTCTCTTCTCTTTTTTTTTTCTTCTCTTTTACAACTTGCATCTTGAGCTATATAAATATGGTATATTACTGTTATTATTCAATCTTCAGCAGATTTATCATACTTTTCGGCTTACAAAACCCTGAGAGAATATGATTTATTAAGGCCATCAGTTCTCTCCTCCATTCACCGCAGAAAAGCTGCTCCAAATCAATAAATTGCTTACGATTCCTCCTTCCTCTCTAAATCTTCTCATTATCTATTCTCATCAATCACACATTAAGAAATGAGAGAGGATAGAATCAATTTCATGATTAAATCAGTTTCCTTGCCACTAACAGCCCAGAAATATGTGGTTATTTGCTCAATTTTGACTCCCTCTGTCCCTCTCTCTCTCTCTCTCTCTCTCTCTCTCTTTCTCTTGTCAGGCAAAGAGGCAGCACAACTTGATGGATATTTCCCCGCTCTTGCTTAATTCTCTTTCTTTCTATCTCCCCCTCTATCACTCTCTTTCTCTTTCTCTCTCTCTTAAAGCGAAGAGGCAGCACAATTAGATGCATTCCCCTCTCTCTCTCTCTCTCTCTCTCTCCCTCTCTCTCGCAAAGCAAAGAGGCAGCACAATTTGACGCATCGGCGGGCTCGCATCCCGGCACGAGACTTGTTAGCTCAATTCATTACCGCTAAGACACAAATCACGGAAGGAGCTGACGTGACTAGGCCGTGGGGACCCCATGATTGAAAGTTAGGTTTCCCGTCCCGGCTGCTGCAAAACTGGAAAGTGCCTCAGGCCGGCACATCCGGACCATAAATCAACACTCGTCAATAACGCTCTCCGCAACTCATTATATCTTGTAGGGTTGCGGGAGGGAGGGGGGGGGGGGGATACATACGATTGTGTGTAAATTGTCCACAAAATAAATTATTAGAAAGCATGCCTTTTTGCTTGAATGTACAAGTGAACATGTAAAGTGCCAATCAGCCAAAACCAATACACTTTATCTATCATGTTTCAAGAGCCATAGATATTAATTATATACTATGGTCTATATATCAGGGGTGATAGTGAGCACTAAAAAATAGGTTTTTGGTTTTCCCCTCAACCACGCCCCCCCCCCCCCTTGAGTAAAAAAAGAAAGAAGAGGATTCACGGGGGGAAAATGGCGTCTAACAACATTCCCCTTTTCGAGTAAGAAAATTGAGAAAATTGGGGAAAAAATAGTGCAAAATAATAGGGAAATAAAGGGGAAATCGGGATAAAATAGGGAAGAAGAAAAAAAATCTGGTAAAAAAAAATAAAAAAAAAAAAATCGGGAAAATTTTTAAAAAATCAGAAAACCAATTTAAATCGGGTTTTTATTAGGCCTGCTATATATACATGTAGATCACTTCCAACATTAGGAAAGGAACATTGCATCCTATTGCATCCTGCAATATGTTGATGGCTTTCCACAGAAAAAAAGCAGAACAATATCCAGCAAACAGATCCTACAATTTTCCCCTCAATTTTTGTTTGTGTCTAAATAAATAAATTTTCATTTCATAAATTCAAGTTTGGAGCTAATTTATGCCCCCCCCCCCAAATTATTTTAAACTTAATCCACTTTCATTTATTTTTTTAATAGCATGTTTCACTGATTTAAATTTCAAGAGCAATTGTATTCATGAGACATTGCTACAGGGCTTTTCTTCAAATGTGAATGAATTGAACGAGAACGCTCCCATGTAGACAAGAATTCAATCTTCTCTTTAACCGGAGAACCAGATAAAATCGACTATTTCAATGTATCTAGAGTATGGAGACATAGAAATACAGTGAGCACAGGCATCTCGTCTATACACCTGTCTGTTAGTAACAACATCTCTGGCCTTAATAAAAACAATAGTAGATGGGACACGGTATAGATTGAAGAGAGAAGAGGCCAGAAAATGAAAGAGAGGCCTAAAGTGAGGTACGCTGGGAAGGGCTTGTAGGTATGCATGTGCATGCACATGATTGGATAGGAGATGTGATTGAATGAAAGAGAGAGAGAGGGGGAGAGAGAGAGAGGGGGAGAGAGAGAGAAAGAGAGAGAGAGAGATAGAGAGAGAGAAAGAGAGAGAGAGAAGAGAGAGAGAGAGAAAGAGAGAGAAAGAGAGAGAAAGAAAGAGAGAGAGAGAAAGAGAGAAAGAGAGAGAGAGAGAGAGAGAGAGAGAGAGAAAGAGAAAGAGAGAGAGGGTGGTAGAGAGAAATATGAAGAGAAGGTAGAGAGGGAAAGAAACAGGGAGGGAAACAGAGAAAGATGGAGGGAAAGAAACAAGGAGGGAAATAGAGAAAGAGGGAGAGAAAATTGGGATCCAGCAGGGTTGAGGGACAGAGAAAGTAAAGAAGAGACAAAAAGAAAGAGGAAATAACTGGTATACAAAAGAAATAAAGAATATACATATTTGACAGTATCAAAATTGATGTATTAGTAAAAAAAAAAATTAAAAAAAAAAGACGAGCTGCCAGAAATCAGACAAAGAGAGTGAGGAATCTAGTTCCATCTCAACCACAGGGGTGTAAAATAAAACTTCCTCTGAGAGTCCCACAATGGACACGATGAGGTTTGAGATGGAGGAGAGTCACCATTACTTCAAGATGAAAGAAGTGCGAGGTACCCCTCTGCCGGATGCGGGGTGGTGGTATTCAGAAACCTTTTCATCATCTCCCTTGCAGACGTAATCCAATCCCTGCTCTAAAACCCGGCAATATCCGTCGCGCCCCGGCTCCGTCAAAGACCCGGAAACGCAATCATCATCTGCCACTGCCCCGAGGAATATGCGTTCCCTGCGAACACAATCACTTGCACGGCTGGCAGGCGAGAGCGCAACTGACGACGGCGGCAACCACGCAAAAATTAAGTTGAAGAAAAGCCTAAACGATGGTGTATGACAAGTCATTTGCTGCGCTAGTAAGCCGAGGGAAATTACGCGTGCAAATCGCTTCACGTGTGAATTGCTCCGCTGGGGGTAAGGGGCCTCGGTTGAACTCGATGAACTGTAAACAATATTGGGACGAAAGCGCCACGGTGATAGATAATTTACAGCAAGATGATCTGGGTTATCTCTTTGTCTTTCCTGACTGGTCCTTCTTTTCTTTCAGACGACACAGTGACATTTGGAAGTTGGATGTCGTGGAAGACATGAATGTAACGGTGGTGGGATATGAAGAACAAAGGTTTGTAGCTAAATTTGGTGTTTCTAACGAAACACCCCGAGACAATTTGTCACAAGTCCACATGATCAGTAATCTAATTTGTTGTTGGATAACATTAGGGCAGTGACATTGACATATGCTTTTCTTCTTTCTTTTTTAAAAACTAATTAATTTTTGATGAAAATTTAAAGGCAATGAGAACATAACTAATGTTAACAAATTAACATATATACTTTGACACATTCTCCACAACCTTCTTGCCCTTAACAGATGATATATGAGCAAAATCACAATTTTACTTACCATAAATCATAAATTAACAAGGTATATGGATCATAGGAGAAAATGATATTAACACGTCATTAACTTAGAGACTTCAACTAATCCATGAAAAGAATCAATTTGAGGCTATTTATGTACATGTACATGCAGCATGCTACAATATATACTTTACTACTTCTACTACCCTTGAGAAGAGATTACGGCTTACCATGCTTCGTGAAGCCCCGTCGACATGTCCAGAGCACTAATGGGTATCTTGACCTCGCCGATGAACACGTCGCCTGATAAACCAGATACAGAGTTCCACAATGCAATTCTGCAAAAGAAAAATATGAGAAATAAACATCTCTTTGAACATTATGTACAAATTGAATTTCTGAATTTTTCTTCTATGAAATTTTTAATAAATCTTCACTCACCGCCATCACCATCATCATCACCTCTATCATCATCGTCATTGTCATCGCCATCTTCATCATCATCATCATCATCATCATCATCATTACCACCACCATCATCATCATCATCATCATCATTACCACCACCATCATCATCATCATCATCATCATCATCATCATCTTCTTCTTCGTCAGTGCCATCTTCTTCTTCTTCTTCTTCTTCTTCTTCTTCTTCTTCTTCTCATCATCATCATCATCATCATCATCATCATCATCATCATCATCATCATCATCATCATCATCATCATCATCATCATCATCATCATCATCATCATCATCATCATCATCATCATCATCATCATCATCATCATCATCATCATCATCATCACCCTCACTACATGTACCTCCTTCTCCCCCGCCACCACAATCATCACCATCCTCACCTTCAACATCAACATCATCAGTCACTCCATAAGAAACAATGTTAAGTTAAATGTTAATTGAATAGACTTGCATGGAAGAGCTACATGTACCACTCCCTTTCCAAAAAATATGTATTCCATCACCGTACTATGAACAAAATGTACAAGTAGTAGTCAAGGACCCAAGAGAAGCATGAGCATTGAGCGATGCCTATACGCTTTCTTTCAACAAGTTCATTTCATATTTTCAAAGTCCTGCATCGACGATCCTCACTTCTCTTCTGACTTGTTTTGAAACTTAAAACTCAATCACGCAAACATCCACCACTTACTATGCACCACAACATCTAATTTCCCCACATCCATATATACATGCTACATGCATCAGAGAGCAAACATGAAACACTTGTCTACAAGTTGCAAAACAAAGTCATTTCAAATTCAAGATGCGGCTGTCTCCTCCTCGACGCGGGTGAACTCTTGAGCATCTCGTGTCTTGTTGCTACGGTAACAAGCAGAGCTACACGTCCGAGCTTTACCTCGTTCTCGGGTCATTGGGCTGAATTTGTAAGCTAGCAATTGCTCTTGAATGCTTCCCTAGCAAACATTTGCTTTTAATTTATCATGTTCCACGAGGTAATGTGATAAGGAAACTTGAACAGTCTGGTTGGGCGTTGCAAGAAATTTGCAATCAATTGCAAATCTCCCAAATCAAGCGTAAGTTTGGTTTGCAAATTTGAATTAAAAAGAGAGAGAGAGAGAGGTGGGGGGGGGGAGGAGAATAAAAGATAGATCTAGTTAACTTAATTTAATTGTTAAAACTTTAATCCAAACAAAATCTTAGCAAATTTAGGAGACTAGTGGGCATTGCAAGAAAGTTGAGTTGCAATCGATTGCAAATATCAGTTGCAAATTTTGCAACTTGCAATCAACCGCAGCTTTCTTGCAACGGCCCAAATGTATGTACTTTCAAGGGTTCAGTATAGTTTAAAACAGAATTAATCCCTGTACACTGTCCAAATTTGCTGCAGAGTATTATGATCATACTGCTGTTAAATGTGATATTATAGTTTATGGTTGAATAATATTTGTTAAATGCCCTAACCAGAGTGAAGTGTAAGGTATCAATAACAAAAAACCTCAGAAAGAAAATCAGACAACTGAAGATGCATTCATGGGTTTTTTTTTCCCGATAGATCTAAAAAAAATATTTAAAAAACCATATTTTGAGAGAAATAAGTAACTTAATGTTTTTATATTCATATATATATATATATATATATATATATTCACTTGATGTTTCAAACAATTTTGATACAGAATTCACGACAACAACAAACATATAGGTATAAAAACATAACAACTTTTACAAATGTTTACAACATCAGTATCAGATTCAGATTAAAGATTTTGAGCTATCAAACGATGGTCACCGCGTCCCCCAATCTTTTGTAATCTTACAGACATGTACGAGATCTCTGCATTCATCAGCCAAGAAACCCACATTTTATCACATTGAGCATTGTCAAACATTGGATATTTGACTCCCGGTTACAAAGCAAAGTCATCTCGTATGCCAGACGCGATCGTTTTTCTCTTGGGGGAAGGACTCGTTGCATCTCAAGTACGATCCCTCAGGTTTCTCTGACTCCCACAAGGAAACACTTGAATGTTGGCCAGAAAATGATAGAAAATTGGGTCATCTTTTTCATTTCTTGCATCACGGTACTGTCGCAAGTGAATTTTTATGATGGGGTCTTCACAAAATGATCTTATCTATCTATATGTGGACCGTGAACAGTGTGGATAACACAAACTTGCAAGGGGGATAAGAAAGCAGTCTTTATAGGGCGGTTATCTTAATGTTACTTATTCTAAAGAATAGTCTAAACATTTCTAAATGATTATTTGATCTTTGTACAGTGTATAATGTATAAATGTATACAATTTCACTTTCATCATCATTATCACCATCATATTTTTTTTCTTCATGATAACCATCATTAGTTCGTCATCACTACCACTACCATCACCAACATCATCTCCACTACTAATATCACAGGGAAAAATATACTTTAAACATTTTTTATTTTGTTTTGCATTGAACTCTATGCAATTTTGGGGGGCTCTTTTGTGACTTTCGAGGGCTCTTTTTGGCATTTCGGGGGCTAATTCGCCCGAGCCCCCGTGTATTTTTTCCCCTGCAATATCATATTCACCACTGCTTACACCACTACCACTACAACCATCGCCATCGTTATCATCATCGTTATCATCATCATCATCATCATCACCACCACCACCATCACCACCACAACCACCATCATAACCATCACCACCACCACCACCATCACCATCATCATCACCAACACTACCATCACCATAATCCTCATTGCAATCACCATCACCATCAGCACCATCGGTAACCTCAAACCAAAGAGCAGTGTAAAAAAAATAGTAAACAGGGGCTCTTTAAGGATTTAGTGTTGGATAAGTGTGATTTTCCAACAGTGGTATTAAATCATTTTTATTGTTTTTTACTGGAGTTCTTTCCAATTTACTAGAGGACTTCTGGAGCTTCTGAGAGCTAAATCCCATACCGTTACATGTATCTTTTTTTCTGCTGCTAACAAGTGTATGAGACTCTTGATTCACATTACAAAGAATATTAATAATAATACTCAGTTTTTATAAGGCGCTTAATATTAGAATCACTATCCAAATCACTATCACGTTCCAAACTTGGAGATTATTACCCCGGCTTTAATAGCTGTGCTGCCATTACGGTGCTCTAGCATTTCAAAGAATTAATTCCTGCCACGCACCCATTTACATCACCTGGGTTGAGTGTAGCAAATGTAGATCAATGTCTTGCCAAATGAATTCAAATTACAATACAATCATAACTGAAGTGAGCTCTTGCTACACCAACCACGAGCTGTCCGAGACAGGACTCCAGACCCCAACCTTAAAGCACTTGGTATGCGAGGAGCGACCGTCATCAACAAATCAATGTCCTTGACATCGAGGTACTCCCTCGCTTTACGAGTACATCTTCAGAAACATATCACGTCAGGCAGGAGGCAGGAGGGCACTTCAAGCTCATTGAAAGGGGAGGGGTGGGAGGACCTTGATCCCTTGGGCTGGAGCTACGTATATACATGTGCATGTATGCACCAGAAACATGTTACATAATTTGAGACCTCATGTTCAAAGACAAAAAAATGCATGCATGCCAACATTTGAAAATCAGAAATCTGTACAAATTATGCTATTTTCAACAAAAAAAGAGGAACAATCCTAACTCTCCTATTCAATACTACAGACAAATTTGTACAGGAAGAGGAACACCTGCATTAAAATAATAATTATCTTCTCCCAAAAAGAGGAATGTTCCTCTTTAATCTGAACAGTTGGCATGTATGAAAAATGTATATGCAGGAGTGGTGAATGATTTAGCCTTGGAAAGCTCCAAAATAGCTTTGGGAAACTCAAACAAAGCCTACGGGGGTGTTTCACAAAGACTAAGATGCCCCTGTTTGCTCTCACCGTTTACTGGCATTGCTCTCTCAAGGGACGTACAAGTCGTGATCACAAATCTACAGAATTTACATTTTTGTTGGATAGTTCATTATTGAAGGAAAAAAATATCATCTAAAGATCATAATTGAGGGACCAATAGGGAGAGCAGCCAGTGGCATGAATGTCGATCTTAGTCTTTGTGAAACACTCCCCTGGTAATATTAAAATAAAAGACTGAAATATCACTGAGAAAATTGCACTTGTACAACACTAAATCCTAAAAGGGGCTCCCACAAACAGTAAAGTATTTTTGACACTGGGTACAACTGCCATGATCCAGGCAATTTCCACTTCCATTTTTAGCAAATGGACTTCTATTCATGAAGAGGATATACACAACTTTATTTCAAAGAGAATCAGCTTCTCGGCTCTGCAATGCAAAGGTCGGTTTCTGGTGGGTATACTTCTGCAAAAAATATATATATCAATATTTCAACCACAATACCAAATATTGATCCAGGCAATTTCCACTTCCATTTTTATCAAATGGATTTCTATTCATGAAGAGGATATACATGTACATGACTGTTTTGGAAGAGAATCGGCTTGTCGGCTCTACAATGCAAAGTTCAGTTTCTGGTGGGTATACTCCAGCAAAAATATATATATCAATATTTCCATCAAAATAACTGATTATTTACCTGAGTTCTGTCTTGCAGATGTCTTCTTCTGGTGGACTAAAATGATTCTTCTCAACGTAGGAATTATTCTTCTGCAACTGCAATAGCAATAATAAAATAGTTGGGGGATTAAGAATGAGAACAAACTATGACTGTGGCAGATACACATGCACAAACACATAACAAGCAATTTCAAATTAAGGATCTGATGTAAAACAAGAAATTTCACTTACAAAAAAAAAGTGTTTTAAATTAATGAACATGCCCCAAGTTATTGAATAACCATTGACAAGACACTTATTCATTGTAATTTGCAACAACAACAACAAATTGCCACAAAAAGAGGCTGTCGTTCACATTTGCAATGGTTTTTTTTTTATACAAATTCTGGCTTAAAGGTACTTAGTAACATTGTGATGGTTGATTTCACAAATCTGTTGAATCAGGATGCAAAACACATACAATTATGTTTGTATGTATGGATCATCCAACTACGATGCCCCAAATCCGAAATTAATTCACGCAATATGAACATTTTTAACAAAGTTCAACGGGTTTTCGAACGGGCGTCGATGTGCGGCGCTTCTGAATCTAAATTCTCCCAACCATTTTTGAAATTTCCCACCCGTTTTTCCATGAAAAAAGACATAAAAACAGGCTATTAAAAATCTGTCAACACTTAAATGTCTGGAATGGAATGTAGAGCTATTTCATTGCTTTGTGAGATTTCCATTCACCTAAAATGTAATTTAATTGTAATAATATAGTTGGGAGAATTAAGGAATCGATCGGATCAGTTTTTCCCAATTTGTACCATGAATAATGGTCCGTTTTCGCTCAAATTTTCAGATTATCTTTAATTGTACATCTAGCATTGAAGTCACTACCTTAGCACCACTATCTCTCATTTTAACAATGTTACAAAGTCCCTTTAACAGTATTGAGCAATTTAGGAGATATGACAATGATGGATGAAATGAAAGTCTTGGGGGTCACCAAAATAACCACTAAAGAGTAAAGAAAACAGGAAATCCCCCACACAAAAAAAGAAATACGAGAATAAAATAGTAATAATAACATGTTGTCAATTGTCAAATAACTGAATACCTAAACTTAAAAATACATTGTTGTGTATAACAGTAAAAAAAAAAAAAAAAAAAAAAAAGAACTTGCATTTAAAAAAAACATAAATATTCAAACAAACAAAACTATATTATGAAGATGTGGAAATTCTTTGAATTTGTGACCTGCCCTGTATCTCTTATAACCACTCAACCCCACCTATTGAAACTTATGTAAAGGTTAAATGCCTCTTTCCATGCACTCTGTGAATTCCAAGAACTCCCCATCTTCATACGCCGTAGCTTGCTTGAACCATAACAGAGGCAAACCGGTAATTTGTTTTCCTCCGACTGTCAAAACTTGGCTTTAGCGCCTCAATCAAAATCGGATTTCATGGATCAGCCGTTTGACTAAGTGATTCCCTGGATTGCCGGCTAATGTAGGCAGAATTGGTATTTACTCATACAAATCGAAGGGATTCACGACAGATAATGGCTCAATGCAGCTGTCATGAATTTGAGGAATGGAGGAATGGAAATAGTGGTTGTGGAAAAACAACTTGCTTTCAGTGAGTTAGCGTCTTGCTCTAGTTTGTACAGTTCAGCTCTTCTTCTCCTTATTCCTTTTTACTTCTCCTCCTTCATTTTCTTCTTCTTTTTTTTTTTTTCTTTGTGCTTTTCCTTTAATAATCATCATCTACTACTTTCCTTGCAGTGTGTACATATTTCTAATATTCATTCCCCCTATAACTTAGATACAAAAAACTGTCATTCCTATCAATCTTGTCCTATTTATCCCCTCTTTCTCTTTCTCTCTCTCTCTCCCCCCTCTCTCTCTCTCTCTCTCTCTCTCCATCTCTCTCTCTCTCTCCTGCCCCTCCACACCCTCCCCCTCTCTCTCTGTCCCTCTCTTACACTCTTTCTTCCCCACTCTATCATCCTCTCTCTTTCTGTGGCCTTCCTTTCAAATCCCCAGGACAGCGATGCTTTTATAAACAAATTACCCTGGTTCGCTTAAATCTTCCCTCCCACAATTATGAAGCAAGATTTGATTAAAGATTTATTCAATTATTGCTGATGGTGAAAACTGCCCTTAGCATGTGAATTAAGAAAGGTATGTAACAACATTATTGCATAGCTAGGGAGAGGGAGAAAGAGAGAAGGTAGAGTGTATTGAACGAGAGAGAGGTCAAAATTAGTTGTTTTGTGTGTTGGTGAGAAACATGGCGAGATAGACGGGGGGGGGGGGGGGGGGGGGGGGGGGGGGGGGGGGGGGGGGGGAGAAGGGGGAGAAGGAAAAGAGAGGAAAGAGAGAATGACTGTTAAAGAAATAAATGTATGTCAAGAGAGTAAGTTGTATGAAGGCACGTGCATATGGGGAGGGGGGGGGGGGGAGAGAGAAACTGCCCCATTATTGACCCAGATAATCAAAATATAGTAATTACACAAAAAATAATAAAATTGTAACATAAAATATAAAGGGAAGTGATTCACATGTTTAAACACACACGCACTCGCACTGGCACCCCACACACAACATACATGTACATATATCCAACTCAATGGTTTAACAAAAAAATGAAACTATACTGTTTAAAGCATTCCCCCCTCCTTCCTTCCTTCCCCGTTAAATGAAATCATGTCTATGCCACTGTGCGTGGGTGGGCATTGAGGAGGAAAAAAATGCGGTTTTATGAAAAGAGAAAGAAATAAAGAAATGAGAGGACTGTCCATCGTCATAGCCATGGGGTAATAGGATAAAGTCTCTAGTTATCATTTTCTCATGCTCTTTTATCTCCCTTTAGCATCAGCATCTATGGGCAACGACTCGGCTATTTCCTTCTAAAGAGAAGGCCGACAAGGTCAGGGAAAGGTGAAGAATACTTTTTAAGCTGTCTCATTTTTTCTTGACCATGGTTTCTTGCCATGAATACAATTGATCTGCTCTTGAAGAAGCTCTCATAGTCATTTCAAATATTAAAGACCCGTAAAATAGAGGGAAAGTTTCAAATTCCGAGGCCCTTACTTCACATCTACCACGGATCGCTTATATGAATCCTCTGATAACACTCTCTGATTTGACTGATCATGGCGATGGTGATGATAATGATGACTGGGAGAAGAGTGTGTGGATTTGTGAAACAGAATAGAAATGGCGAAGAGGAAGAGATTTATAATAAACGAGTGAAAGTTTCAAATTCCGAGGTCCTTACTTCCTATCTACCATAGATTGCATAACCAAATCTTCTGATCCCGATACTCTCTGAATTTATTAAGTTATGATGATAAAAAGATGATGGTGATGATAATGATGATGATAATGGTCGAGAGAGTGGAGGGAGTGGCTATGATAGTGCTGGTGATCTAAGTGATAATAGTAACAGTAGAAGATGAAGTACTGGAATTTTTTGGGTGTACCAATCACCTCAAAAAATAATTTGTGTACAGCAAGAATATACAATGTATAAACCAAGAATAACATACGCTTTCGTCCAACAAGAAAAATATTTTAGAATTACTTACCTCAAACTGAAATGCCTCGTCAAAATGGGGATTTGTAGATTTCCTTTTCACCTTAGTTCTTTTTGTTTCTAACCTGAAAAAAAAGAAGATAAGGAGATGAATAAAAATAAAGATTAGAACTCATAAAGCCACTCAAAATATTTATTTTGTATTTTTCTGTAAAAGTTTAAATCCCCCTTTTAATGAACTGCATCACTTTCTTGTTTTTCCAATGCTATGACATAGTATGCAAAAAGCTTTTTCCAGTCTCATCAAACAATATATTACTTTTACAAGTATATAGATTTTAAATGCCAATAATATGAATACATGTATTCAAAACTGTTATTTAATAACTAAAATATTTGTAAATGCAACATAAATTTCAATGCAGTTCATGTTTTGAATGATATTGTGTGAATTAATTAATTAATTAATATCAATTGGAAGCATTCTGACTTCAACCTTTGGCTGTGATGCAGTGTACTTGATAAAGAACGTTATTAGACTCGAACCTGAAATATCAATATAAATTTTTCTGAAAGTATATTGTAACTCTGTTATGAACAACACTTTCATGCAAACAACATGTACATTGTAAAATGATAACAATAAACAATTAAAGAAATTGACAATATTCAAGGAAATTTGAAATGGAATCCCTATTCATTCTCAAAGGATGTTTTATTTTCATAACCAATCATTTTTCATATTCGATCAACTTCATATTCACATGGTTTTATAGTAACCTTTAAAAACTATTTAACGATAATAAAAATACAAATTTCTGAAAAAAAATTGCATATTACATGACAATTTACAATACAAAAATGGGGCAGAATTTTTCCTCACTTTCTAACACTCGTCGGTGGAATTTAATAAAGGATGACAAAAAGGCAGAGAAATTGAGAAGTAAATTTGGAGTGAGTGGACAAACAGCCGATGGGTACGCCTGCTCTGAGAAAGACTACCCTGGTAACAACTAATTTCTAAACCTCTGATCTGTTATAGCAGTGGGGGAAATTGTTTTCCTACTGCACAAAAAAACAGAAATGGTAAATACAATGATAGATATGAATTGTTTAATCAGGAAGTAAATTTTCCAGGTGTATTATCTTCTTATCCTTCTCCTGTTCTCTCTAACCATCTGTCTTTCTCATGCTCTTAATGGTCTTCTTTCTTTCATTCTCTTTCTTGCTTTCTCTTTTACCCATCCCTCTCTTCCCTTTCATTCTCTCCCTTTCATCCCCACCATTTCATCCCCACAATCTGTGTCTCTCTCTCTGTCTTTATCTCTAGTTAATTAATGTACTCTGTCTACTATTGATGCGTTTTCCTTTCATTGTCCGCCTTTAAAACTATCCTTTTGTTTCATCACTTCTCTCAATTTCTTTCAATCACTCTCCTTTTCTTCGTCTATTTTTACTTTCACCATCACAGACTATCTCTCTATAATTATTCAATCTTTTTTTAGATAGATAGAAATGGTTTTTATAAAAAGATCATCGCAGCCAATGGCTAAATTGCGATCCATTTCACAAGGTTATATACAATACAATTGCAATTCAAATTGAAATAACACAAAATATGACATAAATCAATAATCAAACATATAGACATTTCATAAAAATTCATTGATCAGATTCAAATTTTTGTTAAAAAAAGAAAGAGATAGGGAGAGGTGTAGGAGAGGGAGAGTTGGAGTGATGACAAAGAGAGAGAAGAAGAGAAAGAGAGAGAAGGGGGACGGGAGAGAAAGACGGAAAGAGATAGAGAGGGGGAGAAGGAGAGAGAGAGAGGAAGAGAGGAAGAGACAGACAAAGGGTACCTTATCATTACAGATGAGGGGAGATGGCAAGAAATATTCAGTAAGAAATATTAATCTTCTTCCTCCTCCTCTCTCTCGATCTCTCTCTCTCTCTCCCTCCCTCTCCCTCCCTCCCTCTCCCTCCCTCCCTCCCTCCCTCCCTCCCTCCCTCCCTCCCTCCCTCCCTCCCTCCCTCCTCCTCCTCCTCCCTACCTTCTTTCATAACCCACTCGTTCTACTACTATCCTTCAATCTTTAGGAATGCCTTTCCTTCACAAATCATGTTTTATCAATCGATACAGAAAAAAACATTAAACCCAGGCCACCTGCGTAATAATCAAACAGAGTTATTGAGCAACATATTGATACAACATTTGAACAAGTAAAATGATAATCATGTTACTAGTTTATGTTGTGTAAATTATGTGTCCCAAAAGAGGTTGTGGTCCAGTAGCTAAGTCTCTGAACTGTTAACCACAAGGTACAGGGTTTGAACCCCTGTCACAGCAGTAATGTCTTTTGGCAGGACATTACAATCTACATTTGCCACACTCCACCAAGGTGAGGTGAATGGGTACCTGGCAGGAATTAATTCCTTGAAATACCGGAGCATTGTAATGGGATCCATTTTAAATCTTGGGAAATAATAATGGAGCACCAGGAGAGGCAAATAGCGCAATACAAGATTCCACTTTTTTCTATTATTAGAAGATTTTAGAAGTAAAGAAAAAACTTCTACTGGCTATATTGCCTGTTCAAGAAAGAAGGCAACAACTCCTTAAAAAGGCATATGGGTTAATGCTGTTCTAGCTCCTCACTGAGAAAGACCTTGCAAATAAACAGTATCTTATTACTTCTTTTCCTACTGTAATAGTATTACAGATCTCAAAATAACCTAGGCTATTTCTCAACAATTCCATCTTTATTTGCTTCTTCCAAATCCTTTTCTGGAGTTGATATGACTGAAAGAGAGAGACGATCATCTGCCTTCCGCTCTAAACGACAATATTGGCGTACAGGGTGTCGCCTGCCTGCCTGCATTTCACTTATGCATGCATCCGGCGTCACCCGATACCGCAAAGTTTACACAACACAGCTAGGCAGCCACCCACCAAAAGAAAATCGTGACTCGGAGAAACGAAGATCCCACTGATCTATCTGCCAGCGAAATCGTGACCGTGGACAAAAAAATCAAGGTGTCACTTGCGGATTGGCTTACGATCGTTGGCGCGGCCGCACAAATATCCAGATTGCATTCGTTCGCGCCAAGATGAGGGAAAACATACCTGAAGATTAAAACGGTATAATGGCTGCCGCGAACGAAAGAGTTTGATAATGATAACCCCTTTCAGGCTGCTTGTCTGCGCCCTAGCTGGCCGATCAATTTCCAAAGTTAAATGCACGCTTTAGAATTGCCTTTTCCTAAAGGCCTGTGTTCAGTTCAAATAAATATTGAAATTTTGATCACGTTGCGTTATAACAATCACTTTGGTTCCATCAAGACCATTTTGATGATGATGTTGATGATGAGATCTGTCCATTAAATGTAATGCAAAGTCTTGGGAAATTTTGAACATTGGGTGGTTAGTGATTCTTTAAAATTTTGATATTTTTGGATGCCCCTGTGGATGTAAAGCACAAGAAAATGTAGAATCGCATATGCTTCCAATATGTTCATTTGAACTAAATTCATGACCCCATACCAAAACTTTGTATTACCTTATCACAGATACAATTCTAAGAAAGTTTAAAATATCACATCACAAAGTGTGATATACTGTCTGTATCTGCATGTCATGGGGTATATCATAGCAGGGAATAATTTTCCTCAAATATTTTGATTAGCAATTTCAGCTGATGGATAAATATTTCAAATGAAATTCTGTACATTTCTATGGAAGAAAACTGCTACACAAACAGTATTTTGTATAGCAGTCATGCAGAAATGCATAGAAAATTGCGATGCGATACCAGGAAAATTATTCCCTGATCATAGATATAATTCTAAGAGAGTTCAAATATTTAATCACAATGTCGGACAACGGACACACAAAAAAAGAGATGAAATTGGTTCCATTAAGAGCATTTTGATGACTGCTACATATCATGACCATATCAGGAATCCCTTTCCAAGCAAGTTCAAATCCTAAAATCGTAGTGTCTGATAACGCGCAAAATAGAGATGTCTTTATCTTCTTCAAGCAAATATTGATGATACCTGTACATGTGCATGTCATGGCTGTAGCCAGTTTGACTTCTAACATCTGCACATCATGGCCATATCAATGATCCGACTCACAGAAAATTAAAATTCTTAAACGGTATTTTGGTGTAATGCGGCGAAAATGAGACTTGTTTTCCCAAGACGATTCTGATGATGATTTATATGTAACAGAACTAATCAGGGTATCATGGCCATATCACAGACCTGATTCTAGGAAAGTCCAGATACAATATATCTCATCGCATTACAACTCACAAAAAACAAACGATTTGGTTTCATCAAACACAGTGATTTGCCAATGATATATGGATCTGCACGTCAGGGAGGTATCACGGATCAAATTTTTAGAAAGTTCATGACTTTTAATTTTTAATGGCTAAAACAGCTCAACTTTAGGAGTAGCAGCGTCAAAAACCAACAAAAGATATCAAAAGCTGAGACCCATAAGGGCATTGACACTATCACTGATCAATGACTTCTAGACTGTTCAGACTTAAACAAAAATTTATACAAAACTTGTTTGAAGAAACTTCAAATAAAGAATCATTGTATAGCGAAAGGCGCATATATAGACTAGATGACAATATTGTATTCATTTACACATTGGGGGGGGGGGGGGGGGGGGTTGGTGGTTTCCGCTGTCATATCTGAAGGACCCTTAAAGCCCCACTGCACTGCTTATAGTTACTTACGCCCTCTATAAAGCAAACAATGTCTAATCGGTGACCATTGGTCCCCCATGATCCCCTTTTTCTTATGTTAATTGAGAGCTGATTTGATGAGATAACAACCTGTCAGTGACCTTGCAGGGGGTCAAATTCCTCCTGGATAAACTAGTGTAGATGGGCTTTAAGATTCGAGAAAAACAAGGTGATCGTGTTGTCAACTTACCCAGGTACTTGCATGAATAAGACAACAGATTACAATCGATAGCACAGTAATACCCAATATTTCAAAACAAGATTAAGGAGCATCAAGGAGCATCAATAGGCCCATTCACATTGCACAAAAAAAACAAATGAATAACCACTGAGTTTTTAAACATGTAGTTTAAGGCTGTGCA